AAAAGTTTTCTTGAGAATTTAAAATTGACTTTATATTATTGGAAAATAACTGTAAAATATAAAAATTCTGTAAATATAAAAATAGTATTTAATGTTTTCATAAAATGTAAAGGACTATAGTGACGGGGAAAGGGCTAAAATGAACTATTTGATCTAGAGTTTTATATATTTAGTTTTTTATATAATATACTTTGATCATGTTTCCTCCCCCATACTCCTCCCACATTTTCTCCACCTCTTTATTCTCCTAACTTCATGTTCTCTCTCTGTCTCTGTGTCGCTGTCTCTCACTCTCTTATTCTATCCAAAGAACAAAAAACAAAAAGGAAAATTAAAGCAAAAACCAATGAAAGAACCAATGAAGGTCATTAGTATTTAAAATATATTCCTGTGATGTTAGCGGGTAGAGACATTGAACTCAGATTATGTCAGGAATTGGCAAACATTAGGCTTCGTAGACAGCTAATTTACTATGCTCTCATGACTCCTCATCCTTATATAATTCAAGAGCAACCGTAGATGAGGCGTAAACGAAGGAGCTGGCTATGTTCTTAGGAGACCGTATTTATAGATAGTGAAATTCAAGTCTCATATAATTTTGGTGCTCAAAATACTTTCATTTTGCTTTTTCCAATTGTTTTAAAATAAAAAGAAGACTATTTTCAGCTTCCAGACTATAAATAAACAGGTGGTAAGTCGGGTTTGCTCATAGCTCATGACTTTGACAATGCCTGCTTGGTCTGATTAAAGTTTCCAGTTGGGTCCCCGGTAGATGGATGCATTGTATTTCAGTTATGATATTTTTACTTAAAATTATTCCCTATTATTAAGTTGAATAGTAAAGTAAAACATGTTTGGACCTGTAGGACTTTTGAGAGAGAGTATAGTGCCAAAGGTTATATCAGAAGGTGGGCATGATGCCATATGCCTGTATCCCCAGCTTCTCAGGCTGAGCTGAGGACTTTGATATCAATCTGAGCAGCATAGTGAGTCAGTCTCTGTCTGTCTGTCTGTCTGTCTGTCTGTCTGTCTGTCTCTCTCTCTCTCTCACACACACACACACACACACACACACACACACACACATCAAACAAAATGCACCAGGGCATCCTCAGCAAACTAAAGAACTGGCACTGACATCTAGTTCATCTCTACCAGTTTGCAAGTTGTCTCTTCTTAATCATGCAGACTAGATTCCTTCCCCTGGGTTGTGTTTCAGTGTGCCTATCACTACTGTTCTGAAATCAGTAATATGCATATTCTAAATTTAGTTGTCATGCTAGTTACTTTTATCATTGCAGTGGCAAAATACCTAGTGAAAGCTGCCTGAGGAAGCCAGGGCTTATTTTAGCTCATTTTTGAGGGTATAATCCATTGTGTCAGGGAAGGCAGGATGGCAGAAGCATTTGGCAGCTGTTAGATTGCATCCTCTGTTAAGAAGAGAGATGAATTCTGATGCTCAGTTCACTTTTGGTCCAGAACCCCACTCCTTAGAATGAGGACACAGACATTTTGAGTAGGTCTTCCCACCTCAGTTAACCTATTCGAAATTTCCTTACAGGTCTGTCTCCTAGGTGATTCTGCATCCGTTGAGTTGTCATGGCAACCACTGTTAACCATCACATATATTTTGTGCTGAAGTTGACCAGGGTTTAATGAACAAAAACGTTCTCTTTCATATATTATTTTTAACTTCATATTAATTGCACTTACAAGATTCTGGATTATTCTTAACTTTTCAGTCCTGGACCAAATCTTCCTTTTATCATTGCCTGCTCTTCTGGAATGTCTTCCACATAGTTCTGTTGGCCTGTTAGAATAGAAAATATATTGAAAAGCCTTGGCTATCCTGAACTAATTTTGTAGATCAGTCTGACCTTGAACTCAGAGATCTGCTTCTCTGTGCCTCTTGAGCACCACCACCACCTGATTTACAATATGTCTCAAACAGAGTTAATATGGTGTTCTGTCCATAAAGTTTATTCAAGCCATACTTTTGAGAGCATAATATGTCATTACTATCTTGTAACCTGTATGTCTTGCATACAGAATTCTTATTTAATGGTTTCCACTTATATTTGGCTCATTTTCTTCAGTTCCAACCTGTGTATCAGTTAATTGAAAAGCAATTTTGAATGCACTATCCAAAAAGTGCATATTCAGCTGGCTGTATTGGCTCATGCTTATAATCCCAGCACTTGAGAAGCGGAGGCAGAGGCAAAGACAGAGGCAGAAGGATAACTGTTAGTTCAAGGCCAGCTTGGTCTGCATAGTGAGTTCTAAGATAGCCTAGAATTGCATAATGAAGTCATATCATAAAATCCTTAATGAGCCTCCATCTTGTAATTTATTCTTTGACACCAATTTTATTTTTTTCAGAGCATTTATTACCATTGGAAATCTGTCATATTGTTGTCTGGTTCCTCCTCCGTTCCTTCTTCTTTAGAATATAACTATGAAAGAAAAGTTTGTGTCTTTTCTTAAAACACTAACTTTAAACATATTGGTTCAAAGTATGTAACTTATTTATATGTGGTTAGGTGAAAGATGAATTTGCTGTCTAATTTGCATTAATACCTAATATGTAATTTATTTATATGTGGTTAGATAAATAAGAATTTACTGTCTAATTTGCATTGATAATCTATTATGCTAACATGTGTTATAAATCATCAAACAGCACAATAAAAATAACTGTCCACAATTGAAATGCTTATTCTTCAATTATTTTAGAACTGACAGGGTTTATTTATATTTTTCTGTTTTATAACATACCTTCACAAACAAGTTACAAAGTATGTTTCCTGAATCACGTGGGAGTAACTTACTTTGATCCATTACCTCTGAATACTTTCACGCAGTGGTTCTCAACTTGTGGGTCTTGACCCCCTTGACAATCTTATGTCTCGGAAAATATTTACATTACAATTCATAACATTAGCAAAATTACAGTTGTGAAATAGCAACAAAATAATTCTATGGTTGGGGTCACTACAACATGAGGAACTGTATTAAAGGGTTGACACATAGGGAGATTGAGAACCACTGCTTTAGAGTGTATTTTCTATAAAGATGTTATTGCACATATACAATTATATAATAACAAAATTTTCATGATATAGATTTTTAATTCTACATTTATAGGTTACTCCTGTACAACTCTGTGCAAATTCTGGAATTTGGTGCTGTAACTCCCCAAAAATCAGGGAGCCTGCAAAATTTACATAAAAATTCCTTTTAATTCATTGAATGATCAGATTTGGAATCTGAGACCTTCCAAGATAAAGAGTAGTTTTTGTTTCTTTTTAAAATTCAACAGATTTTCCAATTCAAGCTCAGAAATGTTCTACTTTAAAAGTAAATGCTATGTCTAAGGCCTTAAAGATTTATCTCTGAATTAAGGGGGAAACTTAAAAATATCCTTTTTAATAAGATAAAACTAAATTTCCAGAACCTGAAGGTATCTAGAACTAGTGTTTCCTGTACTTTAGAAGAGAAGTGAGCATCATTCAAAGAAAGAAAAGTCTAGGGGGACTGCAGCTTATTCCCCTCGTTGTTTCATCTTTACTAGAAATTTCTATACTTGTGATGAAACAGGAATAAATTATCAATGAAGACAAAAGAACAATCTAAATGTTGAAGTCAGTAAGCAATAACTCAAAACTCAGTATGGTTAAGAAGCTTAGAATTTGGCCTATGAAATGGCTCAGTGGTTAAAGGTGCTTGCTGCCAATCCTGAAGACCTGAGTTTAATACCTGGCACCCATTAGTAGAAAGAAAGAACAGACTCCTGCACATTCTTCTTTGACCTCCACATCCAAACTCTGGTAAAGGTGGAAGGAGAGGAACCAGCCCCACAAAAATGTTCTCTGGCCTCTACTACTCAGCTGCATTTTGCATCCCTTTATTTTGACACGGGGTCTCACTATGCCACCAATGCTAGGCCCAGACTCAAGCCTTGAACTTGAAGTCAGTGTCTTAAGTAGTAGCATTACCACATCCAGCTTTAAAAAGCTCTTACCTTAAAAATCTGTTTTCAAAGAATGTATCCCTTGGGGAAAAACAAAAGACAAAACAAATACAAATTAGGACAAATAAAAAATTAGGTAGTTCATTGTCAATATAAGTATATTATTAAAATGCTAAGAATTTTTAAATTGAGAGATATGGTATTAGGTAGAAACTTAGTTCTATGGAAGAAATGAAATGTAAAAGGTCTTTCTTTTTGTATTTTGTTAAAAGACAGCTGACTGGTTTTATAATGCATATAGAATTTAATATGTTATTGCAGTATTAAAGGGAGAATTAAAGTATATAACAGATATTTCAAGATTCTGATTTGCTTGCTAGTAACTTTAAATAAATTGTGATAATTTGAGAATGCATATTGTGATCTATATGCCATTAAATTAAAACACTGAAAAATAGTTTACTTGAAACTAAGGCAATAAAAGATAAACAAAACAAATAAGGAACAGAAACAGAAGAAATAGGAAACATTTAAATGGTATTTTTGAACCCAAGCATTTCAATATTTACATTAAACATAAATGAACCAAACTCTTCATTAAGAGTCAGTTTTAGAGTACATGAAGATTTAAGATCCTAACTAACCTATCTAGAAATCAGACATTTGAAATGAGAAGATTGAATTAAAGTTTTTACTACTTTCCATTTTGTATTTGGGGGTGAAGTTAGACTATATTATAATAGGTCATCTTCAAGTCCAAGAATAAAATAATCAGCAAAAATAATTTAGGGAACTTACAGGTAGGTACTGTAGGAGTAGCTGAAACCTACCCTTGGGGAATTATTTTTTCTGTCTCTGTGTACTTTTTCTTACTCAAATTTAAAACTAAAAGTAACATAAAGTGCATTTTTCTTTTCTAAGGATTTACAGTGGAAAAAAGACTAAATAATTTTGATATTGTTCTACAAGACTTAAATATTTTGGTAATTCCTACATACTACTCAATATTGTGTCACATTAATGTTATAAACACTATAAAATACATTAAGAATAACATATCTGTGTTCAGTTTAGATAGCATTTGATAGACTACTTTCCAAAACCTCTCTTTTTTTTAAAGTGCTTTTTAAATTTTGATAGGTATTGGAGGATTTAATCTTATACTATAGAAGCACAATCAGGAATGATTTCTATTTTAGTTGTAAGCTTAGCCTCTAACAGCTGAGCAGTCTCCCAAGCCCCAGGAATCACTTTAGAGTGATAATATTCATCTTTCAGTTTCTCCTCTAGTCATTTTTCTTTATTGGTGTTGTGCAAAAACCATATTGGGGATCTCACCAGTTTAGAACTCTTAAACTGGATTCCCCAAAGTCATAAGTAGGTTAAAAAAAATTGTAATTTTGTATCTTCAGCCTGTTCATAAAAATATTTTATCCTTGAATTTCAAATTGCTAAGTGGCTAATTAAATATTTGCATTTGGAGATAGCTGGAGCAAATATTTCCCAGTCAATAAATACTAACATGTTTCTTGTAAAAATGAGTCTCAGGACAATCAAATGAAATTTTACAAAATCTTTAACATCAGTATTCTTTAGGTTCTTTAAGATACTTGGTTTGTAAGTATGACCGGAATTCTCAAGTGTGTGAGGTTGTATTTGTCTCCACCTAAATAAGGAAGTTACTTCTTAAGTTAATTAGATGACTTGTAACTCTACTGGGTGAGGGTAAAATTCAGAATCTCCAAAGACAAAGAAACAAATTCAATGTATTTTAAATTACTTGGCCCTTCAGCTTACCTCTTTATTTTTTTTCTCTTGCAGGAAACACTGGTACCTTTAGAATACAGGAATGAGAGGCAAGGAAGAAAGGCCATTCATCATAAGAAGATTTGAATCACTTTGAAATTTTAAAGGAATGTAACACTTGCTGCTAAACTATCTTGGTCACCAGAAGGAACAAAGTGCTTCAGAATTAAATGGTAACCAGAGTTCTCCTATCATGTTGTCCACTAAAGTTTTAGGGCACTAGAAAACACTCCTTTTGAAGTTTGAATATTTCCCAGACAACTGCCAAACTATGGAAGAAACTGTTGGTTTTTTTTGTTTTGTTTTGTTTTTTTCAATTTTGGTTTTGGTTTTTTTTTGAGACAGGGTTTCTCAGCCTTGGCTGCCCTGGAACTTGCTCTGTTGACCAGGCTGGCCTTGAATTCACAGATCCACCCTGATTAAAAGTGTACATTGTGTCTCAAAAAAAAAAAATTGTTGCTAGTTTCATAATCATTAGTTCTATGATAGCAATCAGTTTCCCTGCTTTGGTGCTGGAGTTGGCCCAGCGTGTAACCGGATGTTCACTCCACCATTGGCAGGCATCCAATGTATTTTAAATTACTTGGCCCTTTTTTTTTTTGCTTTGTTTTGAGATGGGGTGTGGTGTGTGTGTGTGTGTGTGTGTGTGTGTGTGTGTGTGTGTGTGTGTGTGATTGTGTGTGATTGTGTGTGATTTGAGGTTGGTTTTGAACTCCTATCTTCTGAGTGCCCCACCACCGCTAGGTGCAACTATCTTTTAAGGCGATAATCAGTAGTATTCCACAAAGAAAATAAGAAATGAACCCAATAACTGTTACTGAAATAAAAGAGAAAAGGGATTATTTCTATACTGTGGCTTTTGGTAGAAACAAACAAGAAATGTGGCACAGTCAGAAAACTGCTCTTATGATTTATTTACCTACTTATTTTTGAGATAGGGTCTCGTTATGTAGCTTTGGCTGGCATGGAACTTCTAAATGCTGGGATTAAAGGCATGAGCCATCATTCCCAACTAGAAAATAAATAAAAAAAGGTGGACACCACCGCCTCTGCCCGCCTAGGAAATTGGTTTTCTCACAGCTTAACTCTCAGGCTTCTTTGGTTCTTACTGTTTGTTCAAAGGAATTTTTAGGTTCTTTACTCAAGCTTCTTACAAGAGCATAAACTTAATGGAAAGGAATATGATCTATATTGTCTGTCGTTCAAACATGTTTTCCCTTTCCACCAAATAAGACCAATGCCTTAAAGATTTTGCACAATTACCTACTAAGTTTTATTTTAGTTTCCTTACATGATATCAGATCTGTTCTTTCATGTTTGAAGTTGTAATTTCATATTTATTTTCTTTTTGACCCTTTCTACCTTTAAAAAAACAATAGAGCATCCAGAATAGAAAGAAAGAGATTTGGAGAGTCTGTGAAGTTTTTCTTCTTTTGATATTTAAAAGACTGTTAGATGTCAAGCAAGGCTGAGAACACGTTTGGAAAGACTTGGGATAATCAGTTTCTTAACTCTTGATCTTAGGCCAAAATTGTTTGAATGCATGTTTATAAAGATTCATATATTTGCAGCTTCTTGTGGTGTCTGAACCATAACTTTGATTGTGGTCTGAGAATACAAGTGGGTGTTTGCATACGTGTTGCCACAGTTGACATCAGATCCACCTCAGGACTCTTCACCTAACTTATGGAGCATTGCGTTTGTTTCATTTCTGTTGTTGTGTTAAAATACCCTGGCAAAGCCAACTTAGGGGAGAAAGGGTTTATTTTAAGTTCTCAGTTTCAAGTAAAAGTCCATCGTTGCAGGAACTTGAATCACATCCCCAGTCTAGAGCAGAGAGAAAATCAACACATGCATTCTTCTGCTCAGCTCATGTTCTCCAGTGTTCCACAGTTCAGGATCCCCCTGCCTAGGGAATAATGCCACCCCCAGTGGGTAGGTTTTCTACCTCAATTAATGTATAGAGATATGCACACAGGCTAGCATGACCTGGACAGTTCCAGAAACTGTTCCCAGGAGATTCTAGATTGTGTCAGTTTGTTAATAATTAAAATTTAACTTCCACAGGCAGTGGTTATCAGTTGAACCCAGATCTTGCCAGTTCATTGAGGCTAGCTAGCTGGTTGGCCTTGTGTTTGCCTCCCTACCCAAGCCTTGGGATTATAGGAGGGCTGCCACATCTATACAACATTTATGTGGGCACTCTGAATTTGAATGTAGGTCTTCATGCATACACAGCAAATGCCTTAACAACTGAGTGGTCTCTCTAATCCTAACTGTAGTTTTTATTCACTGGTTGTCATTTGATTTTGAGGGTAGCCATTTGTTTGCTTGAGTACTGTGTATTAGTAAATGAGATGAATTGACCCTACCCACTTCCTTGCTGTTGAATGCAGCAAGTGTGAAAAGCTGATCAGTTGACAGCATTACTTACTAGTCCTGATGATTCTAAGAAATATAGGACTTGTTGTAAAGAAATTATTTAAGTCCATAAATCATGTACCAAAGCATGAATGGATGTTCTAATTACTCTTTCCTGTGCTGATTTTTAAAAAAATTCTCTAGTTCTACTTGTGGTTAGAGCTTCTCTATGATCTTGTCTTTCATAGTTATATAGTCACATTCATCCCTTTGTAAATGTCCAGTTAATTCTTTCTAGTCTTCAACCACTATTTAAAAAAAAAAAAAACAACTTAAAGTCCTAGAGAGCAACCTTTCAAATACAACTAAAAACCAAAGTGCAGGGCTGGAGAGATGGCTCAGAGGTTAAGAGCACTGGCTGCTCTCCCAGAGGTCCTAAGTTCAATTCCCAGCACCCACATGGTGGTTCATAACCATCTGTAATGAGATCTGGTGCCCTCTTCTGGCCGTCAGGCATACATGCAGACAAAACATTGTATTCCAATAAATAAATAAATCTTTAAAAAAACAAACAAGTAATAAAAAAATAAAAACCAACGTACTCAGGGTTCACTCATTCAGGTATAATAATACATGAGAAACAATTATATTTGCTCCATTATTAAAGTAAGTTTGTTATATTTTAGATATCTACTTCTAAAATTTTTAGTCATTTCTAAATGAAAGCCACACAACATTGTCACATTTTATTGTGATATGTTTACCATGTTTTAGAATTCCTAATGCTATTCACATCCATTTCTAAATGTTTTTCAGTAACTTTGGGTCGGATCATTAAAATTGACAGTGTCAGCTGTACTTCTCTACTCGTTAATTGCCATAATTTAAACTACTGGATTTGTTGTCATGGTTAAGATATTAAAAGGGAACAGTTTAATGCTTAAGTTCTCTATAAAGTAAAGCAGAAGAATTGGATTATTTGTTCCATTTACCCCAATGTCTAGGAGATACCTAGAGTTAAAGACCATCTATATTTATATAGCATCTTTTTAGCCTATATAAGCCACATGTCTCAAGTCCACAGTCTAAAAAGATTTGAATAAGATTCAGTTATACAATTCTCAGAATTCTTTTTTTACATCAAAAGAAATTTAGGTTTTCAGTTGAATGAACTCTATGGTCCCTTTAGAGAAGATATAATGTAAAGGATGACGTTCTAATGCCGTAATATTAAGGTTAAGTCAAACTTAACTTTAATGCTTAAGTTAAGTCAAGCATCCAGTTTTAAGCTTATTTCATTAGCTGTAAGCTGTGATCCTTATGGATGGGTAGAAGAAGAGTCCACTGAAAGCTCTGTCTGCTCCGAACCTGTAAAGCTTGCTAGGCCGTGAAAGCATCCATTGCGATTCTTCCAAGCTTATAAAAGGAAGCCTATGTTTACTTTGCCCAGTAAAAAACTACTTAAAATAACAGTAACTAGTGTTATTGAATGCCTACCAGGTGTCAAGCATTAGCATCAGCTTTTAATATGTTTTATATTAGTTACCTTTCTATTGTCATGATAAAACCCCATTGTCCAAGACAGCTCAGAAGAGAAAGTTTATTAGAGCTTATGGTTTCAGAGAGTTAGAGTTCATGATGGCAGTGTGAAGGCATGACAGCAGGACAAGCAAGCCGGGTGCTCATATCTTTAACACAAATAGAAACCATTGAGAACGGTCTGAAATAGCAGTCCTTAAATTCCCAAAGCCTGTCTCCAGTGACATACTTCCTCCAATAAGGCCACACCTCCTTAGTCTTCCCCAAGGAGTGCCACCAATAGGGACCAAATATTCAAATACCAGAGACTATGGGTGACATTTTTTTATTGTAAATTTTTTTTTTCAGGCAGTATATTCTGATCACAGTTTCCCCTCCTTCAACTACTCTCAGATCCTCCCCACCTCCTCACCCACACAACTCCTTGACTTAACTTTCTCTGTCTCTTTAGAAAACAAACAGGCAAACAAACAAGCCAGAATAATTATAATAAAAAGAAATGCACACACAGAAAACAAAGTCTATAACAATACAAAATTGGAAACCGTAATATACAGGTACAATGCCAGTAAAACAAACAAAAAAATGCCCGAACAAAGTAATGTGAGTAAAACAGTCTAAAAAATACCAGGGTTTGTTTTGTTTTGGCTCTCTGCTTCTGGGCATGGAGCCTACTCTTCAGTGCGGCTGATATACTCAGTGAGACTTCTTTGGAGCAAGCTAATGTTTCCTTTCCAAGTGAATGTCAATTGGAGATAGTGTCTTGGTTAGGGGTGAAAGCCTGTGCCTGCCTCTCCTTCTCAGCTCTGGGACCTGTTCTGTGCAGGCCTTGTTCTGCTGCTGCAGTCCGAATTCATATGGGCATCAGGCTTGATGTGTCTGGGAGACACTGTTTTCTTGGAGTCATCCACACCCTCTGGCACGTCCAGACTTTCTGCCTCCTCTTCTGCATAGCTCCCTGAGCCCGGAGGGAAGGAATTTGATGAAGACATCTCATTTAGTAGTGTTTCAAAATCTTTTACTTTCTGCACATTGAGGACGTCTTATTCAAACCAGCACATTCTGCTTTGGTCTAATCGGGTTGTTTTAAAAGAAAATGCCTTTCTCTATACGACTTACAAAGAACAGAAAATTATCTCTCCCACTTCTGAAGGCAAGAAAGTCTATGATAAAGGCACTCGTGGACTAGACTCGTGAGAGTGTCTGTCTTGGCTCATGAATGGTTTCTTTCCCTGTATCCTTACAGAAGGCACAAACAAGTTTTCTAGGGTTT